CTACCAGAGTATTTATCTTGCTAGTTGTGAGGCAAATGCTAAAGTGAGTGTTCATCCTGGAATGATGGTCATTATACTGCATAACTTTAATCTGATTATTGGATTGTAAATAGTAACATGTTAGAAAACTTGGGGGCTTGAGCACCTGCCCCTTTTGCTCCTTGCCCCCAAGTGCCCTTTTTCTAAGCCCTCTTCTGACACATAATAACGTACTAAAATTATTTGTTGTTTACATTTTTAATAGTGTAATTCTGTAAAGACAAAATACGTAAATCAGAGCTAGACCACCAGCTGATTTACATATCCTGCTAAATTGCGGGTTTGAATATGGCAATACTTTCTTATAACAAAATAGACCTGCAGAAATAAATTACTAATAAAATAAATTACATATGCATAGCTGTATGCTCTATATAGAGATTTTCCTTAGCTTTGATTGTATATCTCACAATTTTGTAAATTATCATTGTTTATTAAACTCTGAAAGCTGAGAGGCTTTGTTAATATTCTGTCCTAGAATGCGGTGAGATGTGCCCTTTTTTTTAGCACCTGCCCCTTTAGTGGTCCCTGCACGGCCCTGGATGGCATAATTGTTTGACAATTCTGCTCAAGCTATTTACTGATCTGTCAGGTTTCCGATATGCGTCCCCCCCAATGACAGACTCGTTCCTACGCCCTTGCTTACAAAAATCACTAATGAGTTTATAAAAACAACCACTTTGTTCCTATGGCAGGATTGTGTTCTTGTGTNGGCTTTGTTAATATTCTGTCCTAGAATGCGGTGAGATGTGCCCTTTTTTTTTGAGCACCTGCCCCTTTAGTGGTCCCTGCACGGCCCTGGATGGCATAATTGTTTGACATTTCTGCTCAAGCTATTTACTGATCTGTCAGGTTTCCGATATGCGTCCCCCCCAATGACAGACTCATTCCTACGCCCTTGCATACAGGTAATGGTTAGATTAAGGTATAGTCAGTGTTGGACTATAGAAATGAATGAAATCCAGGAAATTCAGTGCTCTGTGAAGATAGAAAGACATATTATATATGTTTGCGTTATCTGCCCAGGCATGTCTAGATCAAACCTTGCAGCCGTATATTCTCTGCATGTATGCTTTCAGACAGCAAAATGGCTCCATGTACACGAAATCTTAGACATCACATCAGGACGCCTTCTGGGTATCTTATCTAGGGGTTTTTAGAATAGTCCTTTATTAGTCCCAAAGTAGGAAAATGTATTTATTACAGCAGCACCATAACAAAAATACACAGAGTTTGGGAAGAAACCACAGGGCATCTCCCAGAAACCCCTGGGGAACAACATCTCCCTTCTGGCACGGCGGACACCTTGAAATTCCACAGAATGAGCTTAAGAGTGTTGTAGGGTAGCATGACTTTTGGGTTTATTATCTAGATGTGTTACTCCTGGTCTTAGATAAGTGGAAGACAGATATGCTTTATTTCAGTTAGGAAATTATTTTATTGTATTCAAAACAGAAACTCACCCAACTTCCACCAGATCCCAAATCCATGTCTCAGGGAAGAATGTGCGAGCGGTCTGTGCTGGAGGAGGGATGGCAAAACCACCTCGTGGACGGGATTTCAGTCCGTGTCTCCGGAGGGAACCCAGTGGTGTCCATAAACGTGGCCTTATGAAAAAAACCTCTTTCAAAAACAAAACAAAAAAAAAAACAGAAAACATTACAATGGCAAAGAAGCTTAATTTAATTAAATATTCATGTGTTACTTGACAAAAAGAAGAAAAACAACCATCTCGCCTGTATGTCTCTGTCAGGAATAGTAGGCATGAAGGACGTTGGATAATCAAATTTGTTGCCATTTTCAGTCCCATGTTCTGTATAATGCAGACAAAAACAAAGTAGTGTCAGTTATATAGCCTTAATTTTTCTGTTTAAAAGGCAGATAATTACACAATCCTATGAAAATTTGACCCCGACAGATTTGTTCAGTTTTCTTTTCCTTTTTGTCAAACTTAAATGTTTAACATCACCAAAAAGAGTTTCATGTGACAATAACCTGAATAAATTCAAAATGCAGTTTTTAAATGATGATTTATGTTCCTTAAAGAAAAAGGCTGGTCAGTTCAACTTAGTTCATTGACATTAAAAGGAAATAAACAGATCTTTCTCTAAAAAGCTCTTTAAACCACAAACCTGAGAGGTTGGGCCTAAAATAGTTTTCATTGTAAAAACTATTAACTAGATAAAATGTACAAAACATAAGGCAAATTCTTTTTTTTCTTCATTGTTCAGAGAACAAACTGGCAATTTAGGTACTGCATACATAATAGATTTTGTTTTACTGCAAGCTAAAAAAAAAAAAAAGTTATTTCCATTACAAGTAAAAGCAAATAGATTCAGCAAACCCAAAATAAAATATGTCAGCATCTCAAACAAAAAGTAGCTAATAAATAACTTTTCACTCGAATCTTAATTTGTATATAATTATCCAATTATTTCTCAGTAATTTCAAAAGTGTGACATTTCAAAATATAGGACACATTTCCTTTTAAAAATATTTATTCATTTACCATTATGCAATAACCCACATCACAATTCTGCAACTTTCCCACAAACTTTTAGAGCTTCTAAACAATTTTCTAAGAAACTTTTTGTAATTTGCTCTCTGATGCGTTCATGAGGACAGGCAGTCAGAGGCCCGGGGCCAGAAATCAAACTTGGATGAGCTGCTTTGAGGACCGTAGGTTCTGTCTTTAGTCAACTTGCTCTGTCACTGAGCCACCTGGTGCCCCTTGGTGTCCGATCAAACTTTCACATAAATCTGTCTGTGATAGGATATCGTTATATTGCCATCACTAAAGCCCCTTTTCGCACTGCAGGGTCCAGCCTGGCCCGGCCTGGCTCCATTCGACCCGGTCCTATTGGTGCTATGGCCCTGGTCGTTTTGCATTGAGCAGGATATGTCACGTAAATCGACTTGTTGCTAAAGCTACCAAGGCGATCTCTTCAGCGATCGCAGCACAGTTTTCTTATTGGGTCTCCCGTCCTGCTTTTTCTGTATGCGCTCATGAGCGTGAAAGCTGAGGGAAACATTTACCTCAGTTTTACATTTAAGGAAAAAATCTAATCTGAATGTCATCTCTGAGCTGAACTCGCAGCGGCAGGCGGGATTTTCCAGCTGGAGCGACGGAAATCCCCTCGTTTACAGCCTTGGCAACTTCTGATCCGTTCAATTGGAGAAATGTTATTTACCCATCCATCCATCCATCCATTTTCTTCCTCTTATCCGGGGTCGGGTCGCGGGGGCAGCAGCTTGAGAAGGGAGGCCCAGACTTACCTCTCCCCAGCCACTTATTCCAGCTCCTCCTCTGCCAATGTTTACTGTTGATCAGTGTGTTTGCTCTTCTGCAATAGATTTCGCTTGACAATCCAGTTAAGGTTGTGATTCTCCCCGTTGCTGGTGCACCATTTCCTACCAAACTTCACCCTGTTCAACTTTCTGTTGATATGCTTGAATGCAGAACTCTCTGAACATCTAACTGCTTTAGCAATGACCTTCAGTGGCGTGTCCACTGACCATCTTCTGGACGTCTGTCCAGTCAGCAGTCTTCACCATGACTGCTTAGCCTACTGACCCAGAGTCAGAAGCCGTGTTTCCAATCACCTTGAAATTGTCCAAATTGGAATTACGGTGGAGAGGAGCGGGGGGAAGCTTAATGGGAACATGGAAACTAAAAAAAAAAAAAAGAAAAAAATATTTTGATGAAAAGTTTGAGCTCAGATGACATGGTTTTTCAGCTGCATCAAGATTGGTGCCTTTAAAAAAAAACTGCAATGAAAACACTTTTGCGTCATAAGCGTCAGCAGCCGAATGTTACTACTGGCAGAAAAGAAAAAAGACAACAGGAAGTGGTAGGAGGAGGATGGCATGGCATGTTTTTTAGTGACATTGTGTGAACAAACTTATTCACCTGATTTCAGTTGTATTTCTGTTTTAATGGAAACACTGCAATTGTACAAAAAATTTTATTTTTAACATTAGGGAAATTTTGTCAAAGTTTTGCGCACATATTTGCGATGACTTGCATAAATTAAAAAAAATAAATTAATTAAATAGAAATATTTTAAATTGAGATTAACTAGTAAGTCTAGATTTGATATACAATTTATTTTCTTAATATAATTTCATTTGAAAACTACACTTTGTAAAAATTACTTAAAAAAAAAAAAAAAGCAAAATACAGAAGAAATCTGAAGTGGGGTAAACATTTTATAGGCATTTTGGTGTCATTTTACTAATGTTCAGTACATAAAATAATATTAAAAAATAATACCAGAAAAACTTTGTCGGCATCTTGTCTCTCTTGTCCTTGTGGAGTTCTTCTCTTTGGTCTCACAATCAGACAGTCTGTTGGGTCTTCCACGCTAGATGGTACAGTCAGTACGTTCTTGACTGGGAGCAAGTTAAATATCTGAAAAAGAAAAACATGGTTGAAAACCTGCTGACAAATAGAACTGTGTGTCTTTATATCATGATGTTTTTGTTAAGCAAACATTAAGGATCAAAGCAATCAAAATAGAAACTTAAAATGAAACCCAAAAATCCAGCATTGACAGTCAGGGGCGTGGTATAGCAGGGAAAAGTGATGACAATTCTATGGGCCCTGACTGATAGGGGGCCCTCTACAATTTTTTATTTATTTTTTTTTCATAGAAATGAAAACAAAAATTGGGACCCTGTCAATTACAAAATTAATCATATTGTATTTTCAAAGATTGTTTTTAGCAGTAAAAATGTAATGTTCCCACTCCCAGATCAAAAAACACACATCCATATTTGCCCTGAACCCCCCCTATCTGCATTAAATGGTTTGTTCCTGCTTGGAGCCTTCAGAGTGATGCTGTTAGCAGCAGACGGTAGGAAATACGAACGATTGTGGCAGCTACTATGCTGCTAAGAAAAGTTATAAAATCAGGTTTTCAAAAAAGAGAGAGAGAAAAAGGCAAGAGTGTTAATTTATAACCCAGTTTTTTTCCAAAAGAGGTGAGTAGACTGTGAGATTATCAACTATTTAGCATAATTAGCTTAGCTACAAACTACTGTTTGGCTACATTTCACTAGCATTTAATGAATTAAGGAAAGAAATTACCAACATATTCATATATTGAACTTGTCCTTTGTACCTTTTACTACACTTAACAGGTGAGTCAGTCAGCAGCAGCTCTAACCCACGTCCCTCCTGACCTGTCCTCTCCTGAGTGAAATTAAAGCTGCAGTATGTCACTTTTATTAAAAAAAAAAAATCACAAATTTGTTAAAACTGTCATTATGTTGTGACAGTATGGTATGAGAGGTAATCTGTGAAAAATCTGTTTCCTCTGCCTTCTCCCAGTGTTAGAAACAACCAGTCAGTGGCAGGAGAGTTTTACTGCTGTCAATCACAATCTCATGTGGTGCTGCTCATCCTTCCTCCTCTTCGATTTGTGCCGTGCTACAGCTAGCATAGCAGAGATCTGTGCAGATTCAAACTGCGAATGCTCAGATTAGTTACCATAGCTACAAATGACGGCAGATAAACGGTTTCTTGTAATGATAAGTTGTTTCTCCACCACTGGCACATGTAGCAGTGAGTGAATCAGGTTAATTGACAGTGCAAATTTTTTGTCATGGGGCCCACGATTCCTGGCGGTGCCCCTGTTGACAGTTACTGAGAGTAAGTATCTCAGTAACTTTATATACTGAGATACTAAAAATAAAAACAAGTGATAGACATACTCGTACCTAAGGTTTGATCTTTTTAGGAATCAGTTGTTGACACGTTACCTTGTCTGCATCCAGAGTGTGTTCAGTCTCCTTGATGAGGACACTCTGATCGATGGCGCTGATGCCACACAGAGAGTTAGGCAGAGCCGTCAGCTGCAGCTTGATTTCTTCTGCTGGAATGGCTGGAGATGGAGAAAACTCCAGCGAGACCTGGTGCAAACAGAGAACACATCATACTTCTAAACTTAGTGGTATTCCACAGCAATTTACTACGAGTTGTAAAAGTTTTTATTGGAATCTACTTTTTTTTTTAAGCGAAAAGGTTGTCCCCATCTTTCAGGAACATGTCATAGGAAGACTTCACTCATTGGCTTCAATCTACTTCGACAAAACTCTTTCAAGAACAGAACCTGGTGCCTTTATTACCTTAGCTTTTTTTTTTTTTTTTAAGTTGCGGCGTCTGATGTTGTTACCCCAAAATATAAAACTACAAAAAATTGCTCTCTGGAACAAACGTATAGAAGATTGATTCCACCAAGACGTTTTCTTGAACTGACCTTGTTGCTGAAGCATTTCTCGGTTGTGAAGACAGAACTGTGAGCAATCACAGCCTCACTGGGTAGAGCAGCGTACGCCACAACCTGGACTTCTGGAGCCATGTCTGCAGACACCGTCAGGCTGAAGGACACTTCACCATCATTCACTGAAAAGTCAAACCAGTTATCAGAACCTTTGGCCAGCCATACATCACTATGACAAAAATAAAACATGGAATGCATAAAGCAACTTTAAGCTACAGTAATAATTAAAATATCTAAACATGTCATTACAAACCTGACTTATCTTGCAAAACAATTTGTTTTTTCCCTTGCATGATGATGGCTCCTCTGGATAAGACCTGCCCAGTTGGAGAGGAAACAGCATAAAGATGCCATACAGTTTTTTGGGTTTTGTTTTTTTTTTAGAAATTTTGATATGGTACAAAAATGTTTAGTGTGTTTAAAATCACTTAGCGACTTGCTTTGGTGAGAAATGATCTACTATTACAACCATGAGTTGGCATAACTAAAACACTCACTGTTCCTGCATTGCCACCAAGTTCAGCCTAAATAGAATTGACATTGGGTGTAACAAGTTGCTACAGGTCCAGTATTATGCTAATTGTTTTTGCATGTTTCTGTACTTTCATATTGACATCTCATGTTTCTAGAAACTGTCCAAACAACAACAAAAATAACCCAAAGAAAAAAATAACCTGCCATTTTCTTGATGATAAGTAAATGTTCTGCTGGTTTCTGCAAGAGAGCCTGTTTCAAAAACCTCTAAATAGTTATGTCACAAGTTGTTTTACTTAGCAACCCCAAGCCAAGCCCAGTGCCTCACTTGGCATCCCAAGTGGAGCTCCACCCACGTCATTACAAGCTACCACTGCAATGGCTGCTGGAAAAGGAAAATATTTTGCTGTCGGTTGCAATACAGAAAATGCGTCCATGTGCCCATGCATTTTCTCCCAGAGCTGCGTGGCTTCATCTTATCTTTGCTTGCAATGTCCCTGCAATGTTGCCAAAGAAAGTTGCTGTTTGTGGAGACCAGTTTAGAATGGACACTCAGGATTCGCCAAAAGATTTGGACCAAAGGAATGTTATGTTCCTGCTGTTCCTCACAAATATACAGACGATGGCAATGTAAGTTGTGTTTTGTATTGTTGTTAGCCATGAGCCTGATTGGTCATTTAGCACAAGCTAACACTGAAAGATAGCCTCTTACGGTTTACTGTCAGAACTGAAAGTGATAGTTTACATGGAGAAGACGTGGTGTTTGTGAAAACGTGCTGGACACTTGGACAATACTGGCATTGTAAGATCTTAATTTTTATTTTATTTTTTTACATGTTGAGAAAAGTGCTTTTCCTCTAACCTTGCAAATATATATATAAAAAAGGTCATAAAAAAAAAATCAGTCTTCGTACTGAATTATTGTGCTGATGTCACATGATGGCATATCGCCCCAAAGCAAAGCAGAATCATCAGGGAATTGATAACAATATAAATGTGCGTCGGATCTGCAGCGATTCATTCAGTGGTTTGTGGCTTGATGGTCGTTCAGGAGGCTCCACTTATTCTGCTTCTGGCTCAAAGACGTACGGTTGTACCACTGTGCATCTGCCTGCAGCCATTTTCTTGTTTAATGAGGTGTTCATAATGTAAACACTGAGTTAGGAGGGTGTGGCCAGTAGCAGCTCATTTGCATAATCATGACATAGACTTATAATAGTGCAGTCCTTAATGCAGAACAGGTAAAATCTCAATATCTGAGAATGATTTGTAATGAACATGTTTTGTATAACCCACAGACATGTCCTGTTGCCTGTTCAAGGAAGCAAAATAGTGAACCTTTAATACTAGAGCTTGTGATTTTTTTATTGATTTCACATGATGATTTAGTAATGTTTTCATTGAAATATATGTATTTCAAGTGACTTTATTCCATGATACTTCATAAAACATAACGATGGCCTGCAGGGAACTTACCAGGTAGATCACATCCACTGTTCCCTGGGCTTCCTTTACTATAGTGTACTTCACAGTGACTTCACTCTCTTGGTCACATGGGAGAGACACGTTCTTCTTTAGTTCCAGAGAGCTGCTTGTTACGGTGTCAGGAGAAGGAGGTAGTAACTCGGACAAAGTCAGTCCTTCTTTCACAAGGGAAGGAATTTCATCCTCAGATGACTCCACTGCATAACCTAACTATTTTTTTAAAGATGAACATAATATAACATGAATACAATCAACATAAACTTTGGCTCCGAAGTGCAACTTCTAGAAAAATCAATGCATCAGTGCTAATTAAGCGACCACTGGCAGATGTGAGGGAGATTTGGCTTACCGCCCAAAGCTTCGCCATCGCAAGTATTTATTTACAAACTAGTAATAAGTTTTATTCATCGAGATTCTTTAACAGATAAAAATCAAAAGTGCTTCACAAAGAGAGTACCAAAATTCATTCACCCATTGTCCGTACTCCCTCATTTTTGCAAAAATGGAAGGAATATAGTTCATATATTCAAGAACAAAATTCTTTGCAGTACTGAAAATTATTAAAGCAACCAGACTCTGGGTTGGACTCTGTGGTAAGGAACTTTGAATTATCTAGTTTCTGAAATAAGCTGATCAAATAAGCTGACCATGCCCTGTTAGGAGAGATATGTTAAAGATGTGGTACTTTATACTACTCAGTATTGTTTCTTCTGCCAGTTTTGAACTACAGTACAAAAAAGGCACACAGGCCTGTTAAAATAACAGGGATCCATGATGTCAAGTATTAAGCGTGTGCAATCTTATACATCCAGGGTATTAGTTCTTTATTTTTTTAATTATTCCACCTCTCCCAGATACAAACTCAAGTTGATGTAACTGTCAATAAATGTCACATTAAAGGATAATAAGGTTCAGAAGAGTTTTATCTTAGTCTCATTGTTAAGCATCATTGTTTGAACTGAGATTTGGAGTCTTTCTATATCCACTGTATGCTAAGTGCAATATCAGGACTGCTTTGCTACGAAACATTAAAAAGAGTACTGCACCGCTTCACTATCATGTTGTGATGAACTGGAAGGTGGGCAGTTCAACAAGAGGCTAGAGCAGGACATCCTTCATCTCACAGCCATCAAGAGTCAAACAAATGTCTTCCTATCAACAGTTTGAGAGATTGTATGTTTTACTTACTGTAAGTTTGATTTCCCCATTAAATGTATCAGTGCTTATTGAGAATGCAGCGACACCATTACTGTCAGTGGTGAGGTTCTGCAGCAGCCATTGACTATGTCTGCCCTCCTTAAACAGAAGCAGTTTCATGTGAGGAATGGGTCTGTCATCATAATCAACTGCTTTCACCTGTTGGTATAGAAAATAATAGAAATGTAGCACATTTGATAATACTCATTACGTAAACTGCTTTGGCACATGTTGAAAAACTAAACAGCATTTGTTCCACTTACTTTTCCTTCCACATTCGACCCTTTTTCATACAACTTTGGAGCATCCAAAAAAGACAACTTTCCATAGAACTTTACAAGATTTATCCTCTTTCCCTGAGTATGAGAAATACCTGAGGAGAAAAAGTCCCCCCCCATTTACTGACTCCACTTTATAAAGCAATTTAAAATTTAACTATGACATTTTTTTTAGCAAAAACATATTAAAATGACCTGTCCCCTCCTCTTCCACTGCAGCATTGAGATCCAGAACATTCTTCAGTAAATGTTGATTGTGGTTGAAGACGAGTATATTAAAGTTAAATGTACCGCAGCCCTTCATATCTGTCTGGAAAGTGAACAGAATGTAAGTGAATATGCAGTAAAAGAAAGCAAACAAATATCTCTCATTGTAGATTTGGCACATGTTGTTCTTCCATCTGGGTTTGATGGATTACCAATCAAATAATCAGTTAATGGTTAACTGATTATTTAAAAAACAGCAATCTCTCATCCAACTGGTATCAAAGCAGTTTAAGTGAACACAATAACTCTACATTGTTGTGCTGTATAAGTTGGAAGAGTCTTGTGATTGTGTCCTCACAGGATCATTTTATTTACCACTGTACCTGCTTTGTCTTTGTTTCGCAGGGGGGACTTAGTGAACTTCTATAAAATCGTTCTTCCTGAGGTCGGCACACCTTCAGTGTAATACTTCCTGGGACAGGCTGTCTGTATGTGTACCTTCATTCAAAGTAGAAAAAACTAAGACTGAAATCTGCTGTTTGTTAAGAAAACCTTGGTAACACTTTATTTGACAGGGTGTGCATAAGACTGATGGCTAAAAATATGACATAACACCCGTCATGAACATGAAGGAGTTTTTATGAACATCTGACTATGTTGTTATGAAGTGTCATTCAGCAAATAATGACACTTTTAATGCAAAGTTGCTCTCAAAGTTGCATTGAAAGTCCGGTAAAAGTGCCAACTTTGCATTAAAGTATCATTATTTACAGAATAATGTTTAAAGCAACTTCTAGAGCAACTTTGCAATAAAAGTATCAAATAAAGTGTTACCAAAAACCTTTACTCACTGCGCACAAACTTGAGCATCAAATTCTCCTTTCCAGATATTTACTTCCTCCTTCACATGTATCGTTACATCGAATTTGGGTAAAACTAGAAACAATAAAATAACTCATTTCTATCTTGCTTAATTTTCGATACACAAGTATATAACTGACCTATAAAAGCAGGGCTAACTTACCGTATTTCTCCACCTTGAAGCTATGAGATTTCCTGTCTTCACCCGTTTGCACAGTGATCTTGTAGGATCCTTCAGGGGCCTCAGAGTTCAGGGAGTAGGACAGCTGCAATATTCTGTTATTGGATGTTTCATTCAGCCACTGTCCAATCCTGTTGCTCCTAGAATCCTGTTCAGTAAAGCAAATCAGAAACATGCAGTAAAAAGAAGAAAATGTTTCTGCTATGGATAAAATTTTAATATGCAAAAAAATAAATCAAATTATAATAGATATGATTACTCTGGCACTCTTAAGTTTTAAATCACACTGTAGCACTGTGATTACTCACGATTAATCACTATGCTCAACTTTGTAAACTTGAGAGGTAAATATGCACGTTTTCAAAACATGTATAAAAAACATTGTATTGTCTCTAATCAAGCATGTCCTGAAAAAAAATATTGGTGTTTCCATTAAGAAAATTGATTTTCTTAATTTCAATTAGTGCAATTTTATGGTTAATGGAAATGCGGCTTATAAAGCAACCAGACCCACAATTTTAGCTGCAATTAGGGTACAATCCAAAAAAATAAATAAAAAAACATGTTAAAAATAATTTGTTTTTGTTTTCATCAAAGAAAGTCTTTGAAAAGCTGTTTAGTACAAATATGTTTAGCTGCCTGTGGCTCAGAAAAATTTAACATTGCTTACTAACTATAAAATATGAATATATGAGTCATTGTGAGATTTCCTCAAATATTTGCGCTTCTTAATTTACATTGTTTCATGTGAAAATTAACTCAGAATGCGATGCTAAAATGAACAAGACATGCAAATAGGATTGCTCATATTTTCTTACCTCCAGTTGAATGACATTGTACTGCAAAAGAAAGGAAAGATGATTTGACAACAGAAGAATTGTTTCTGTTTGTTTTCTTTTATATTAAACAGCCATTTAATAATTAAGCAAATGTTTAAATAGTCAAATAATTGTGTCAGTGTGTGGAAGATTAAACTTCCAATTTCCAATTAGAAATAAAAGTGTGACAAACCAATCAGATTCCATGGCAGAAGACAAGAAAAGCACCTAAATATGAAATGTCTGTCTGTGTGATCTAATCAGGTATAACTGTGGTTACTTTAGTTGGTTTTTAATTTGCCATTATTTTACAGATGTATATAACAAATAAGAATAGATGTCCTTGTCCAGGGGACCATCAATAATGTAACATGAAGAATATTTAAGATGAATCAGTTTCAATCTGCAACAGGTCAAACATTTTTCATGCAAAGCTTCCATTGTTTTCCTTTTGGGTAAATCCAAGCATAAAGGCTCATATTGTAGATATCTTAGTGAGATCTTGAAATATAATGAGACGCATGGTTCTATGAGATACCACAACATTAAGACAATGGGAAAGAGAATTCAGTCTGACCACATATTTTTCTATTCTCTTATTTTTTTGTACCTATTCAGACTTGGGTGGGGGGGGGCACTGAATTAAAATCCCAAACTTGTTTTAGACTGCTGGTGACTTCTAAAAAGGAAAGGCCTGCTGACCATGGTCTGATGTTGGTCAAAGATCACCAGCTGGTGTGTGGAAGACGTTAGTGAACTGGAGCACATAATACATTCACCATCAGTAAGGAGAACTCACCAACATGCTGGCAGATCTCAGCTTGGAGTCCAGTGACACAACTCTGAAATGCACTGAAGGAAAACTGATGAGTGTTTCGGCTAACACAATCCTAAATGCTCTCGTAAGATACAACCCAACTTTATTCTTCCACTCAGGAAACATGCTCACTGCCTCACATGTGGACTCTAATCTCCTGGGTTTCCATCAGAACAACAGTATTAAGATATTCAGAGATCCATGTCTAACAACACGTTCAGGGCTGAAATCCAAACATTATATGAATCTAACCGTATGCAGATGACATTTGACTTCATCTGAGCAAACCTCAGAGTACATAGGAGTTGAAAAGAATTTTATGTTTTCAGATATTTTGTTTTGTACTTTGGATTCTGGAGGTGGAACAATTTTTTTCCCACTAGCTTTTCTGTTTTGGCTTAGTCTTTGTTGAATAAATGACATGTTGGAATTTGTTGTGCGTGGTTTTGATCACTGAGCACTCCATAATATTACTGCAGAAGAAATCTGACTTTAGAGCACCAATCAGCAGTTTATTGTTACCTGTTTGTCCGGGAAGGTAGATTGGTTTGTCTGTCTGGATGAAGGTTCTTAGTTTATAGGCTTTGATCATGACTTTCCTGGCTTGTTTCGAGGAAAACGTAGCACCTCGCACTTGCACCTCAAACATTTGCACATCTTCATTTTGCACTAAGGGAACCTGTAGCAGAAGAATCTTTAGTAAAATTAAAACCAGACACTTACATACAGATAATAAAAAAACATGGTTTTCTTTCTGTCTGAAGTTAGCTCAGATAAAACTTTTTTTTAGGTGAGTTAGAGTTATCAAAGTCATTTTGGTTTGCTAAACTCTAGGAAATGGACCAGAACTCCAGCAAACTATTTTCAGAAGCTTGTGGAAGGAAACCTATTATGTGCTGGGTAAATTAAATTGCAATATTGTATGAATTTCAATTATGCTTTATGGTTTTTTTGTTGTTAAACAATTTTATTGAGGAATCAGACATGAAAATTGAAACAACAACAATACAAATTTGTCCTCTTTTTGTCCTCAACATAAAACAAAAAGACAATACAAAAACAAAAGAGAAGTGACATAAATAAACAGGGACCCATCCACCTCCCCTTTCCCTAGGACTTGCACCTTATCACACCGAGAATCAAATCAATCCTCTTCAAATAGAGTTATCAATATATTGTCGAAGGGGTTGTCAAGTTCTATTGAATCGCTTTAATTTATTTGCAAATGAGAACTGTATTCTTTCCAGATGAGAGAGCCTTACCAGTTCCTCCAGCCACAATTTAACCGATGGAACCTCTGATTTTTTACAGAGCATCAACACTAGCTTTTTTCCTATGATAAAGGCGTAAGATAATAATTGTTGTTGGTATTTATTAAATTGAGAAAGCTGAACAGAAGCTCCAAGTATAATCAGAAGTGGGTCCAGCCTCAGCTCTGTATGGAGTATATCTGATAAAGTTTTGAATATGCCGGACCAAAATGGGGTTAATTAGTACACAAAGAGTGATAATGGAGAATTGTGGCTTCTTCAATATGGCATTTGTCACAGAGTGGGGATGTGTTAGGAAAAAATTTATGTAACTTCACCTTACAGTAATGAAGGCTGTGTATGATTTTAAATTGAATAAGACAGTGTCTAGAATTAGCAGAGCACTTGTGAATATTCTCTAGTGCAGCCTTCCAGAATTCGTCACTTATCTCTATTCCCAATTCCTGCTCCCAGCTTGTTCTAAGAGCCGCATGGATGGCGAGGATCTGGATAACAACAAATTGTAAATCTGGGAGATTAGATGCCCTTCCCCACCACCCAACTTAAACAGTTCGTCAAATTCATTAGGTATTATATTCTATAAAGTCCGCATGTGTTTTTAGCATATACCCTGACCTGTAGGTATCTAAAATGATTGTGTTTATGGACACTAAATTTGGCCTGAAGTTGAGAAAAAGAGGCAAAATTAGACCTCACCAACAGGTCACCAATAGTCCTGATGCCTAAATCTTTCCATTGTGTATAACCTGAATCTAAAGTGGAAAGGAAAAATGAGGGGTTCTTTGCTATTAGTAATAAGGTAGATATAGATTAAATACCAAATTGGGATTTTATCTGTTTCCAAATACGTATAGTACTGTGGATGATGCAGTTATTGTTATATGCCGAGGTATTTTTACTTGTTGGTGACAAAATAAGAGCAACAATTTCACGAGGGCTGTGGTCTTCCTTTTCCATTGCAACCCACTTGGGTTGTGTAAAATTGTGACCTAGCCAAATTCTAATAATGCAAAGCGCACAAGAGTAATAGCAAAATGAAAAATTTGGGAGGACCAGTCCACCCTCCAATTTTGCCTTGCAAAGGTGAGCTTTGCTAATTCGGTGCATTTTATAGTCCCATAGAAATGGAACGATTATAGAATCAAGTTTCTTAAAAAATCTCTTAGGTAAAAAGATGGGAATATTTTGAAACAGATAAAGGATCTGAGGGAAAAAAAAATTATTGCATTAATTCTTCCCACCAAGGAAATGGGGAGAGATCTCCAAAACTGAATGTTATTTTGTAGTTTTACTATAAGGGGGGGATAAATTAGCTTCATAAAGTGAGTTAAAATCCCTAGTAATCTCTATTCCAAGGTAGGTGTACTTATTATTAGCAATTTTAAATGGCATACTTTCCAAGACTGAAGAGTCTTTGAGCTTAATTGGCATCAGTTCACTCTTAGACCAGTTGATCCTAAACCTCGAAAACCTGCCAAACTGGAGCATTGGTATAGTACACTGAAGATTGGTTATGAACAGTAGGATATCATCTGCATATAAGGAAGTTTTATTTATAGTCCCTTTAGGACTATAAATAAAACTTTATAGTCCTATAAAGTTTTAGAACTTTATAGGACTAAAGGATGCAGGGGGTTTGTGCAAGTGGCTCTAGGGCTAAGGCAAAAAGTAAGTGTGACAGCGAGCAGCCTTGTCTGGTGCTCCTATGTAATTGAATTGCAGGAGATAGTGTCTTATTAGTGACGATTCTAGCACAAGGTTTACGTTAAAGGACTTTTAACCATTTTTCAAAATGTTCACCAAGATCATATCTTCTCAGGGTCACAAAAAGGTAGGGCCATTCTATTTGGTCAAAGGCCTTTTCCGCGACGAGGGAAAGAACGGCTAAATCAGAAGTTTCCTCCCTCTGAGAGTAGATCACATTATAAAGATGTTGCAAATTAAAGAAAGAATATCTGTTTGGTGTAAAACCAGTCTGATCGGGATGAAATAATTTATCCATTAATAAAGTCAACCTATTAACTAGAATTGTGGCAAGTATCTTTTGATCATAGGTTAACAGTGATATTGGCCTGTAATTACCTACTTCTTCAGGATCCTTACCCTTTTTTGGTGTTAGTATTATAGTGGCTTCTCTCATAGTAGGAGGTAGGATATTATCTGAGTTTGCTTGGGTGTACATTTTTAACAAATACGGTTGTGGGTCTAGTTTCCATGTCCTTTCAGTTTGGTTCAAATTATCTAAATGTTAATCTAGAGAAAGGGGGGCATGGTCTGAAATTGCTGTATTGTGATATTTTACTTCACTAATATAGGGCGATAATTTTGCATCCATCATTAAATAATCAATATGTGTGTACAAATTGTGAACATTTGAGTGAAATGAATAGGCTCTCCCCTGTGGGTTAAAAATCCTCCAGCTATCGAACAAATTAGAGTTATTTAGGTATTCCTTAAAGAAAATACTAGCTTAAGAGGCCGCTGCTCTACGTGTTGATGAACGGTCTAAGTATGGATCTAATACAAGATTTTACGGTGGCCGCGTCTCTCTTTTTGTTTGCTGCATTTCATTCGGGGGTGTCTTCTTTTTTGTTTGCTGCATTTTATTTGCTTTTTGTTTGCCGCATTTAATTTGTGCGCGTGTCTTTTCTTTTGCTTGCATGTTTTCTCTTTTGCTGCGCATTTGCACCTGTCGGCCACCGTAAGATTTAGGTCCCCTCCAATGATTAGATTAGTCAGGTATTTGGAGAGTCTATGCTGGGGCCTTATATATTAACCAGAGTTATAGGAACAGAGTATAATTCTCCAACTAATATTAAATATCGGATATGGTTGGTTTGTGGGTAAAAGGTGTACCTTTCTTGAATAATATTGCCACGCCTCTAGCTCTCACTGCACAAGTAGAATGACAAGCTTGCCCTGTTCATCTGCATCTCAGTTTTATGTGCTCATTCTTATTAAGATCGGTTTCCTGAAGGAAAATTACATCGCTGGACAATGTCTTTATGTGTGCTAATATATCACCCCTCTTAACAGGATTATTCAAACCTTTAACATTCATGTGACCAAAGTAACTTGTCCCCCCTTCTTTGTTTGTGTTGTATTAACCTGCATAACTCACATTAGAATGAAAAATAGTATAGAGGTCCTCATAATTGTGAAAGAGATGATTATACGTCATATATAAGTCCCAGCCCACCCCTTCAAACAAAATGCTTACCGTCTTGCCTATACTAAGAAGAACCTGCAAAGTAAGGTGCGACCCCTCTAAGGAAGTTATAAGGAAAAGGACAAACAGAAGAATAAAGTTAAGAGTAACACTCAAAAAACAACCTACTCAACCAACAGCTTCCCTTACTACTAACTCCTAATTAGAAGTTGAAAAAAGCTCTGCAAAAATATAAAATTCAAGCACCGAACTAACACCTGACCAGGTGAAAAGAAATGATCTGAAAAACATGTCAGGTTATATAAGCTGCCTATTTATAAATATCAGCCCATCTCAGATTGTCAACGAAACTTAAGGCAGCTAATTATGTAACCAAAATGAAGATTCCAAACATTATATAAACTTAGCTGGCTAAACATCACAGAACAGTCCAGGCATTGAGTACCACCAGAACCCGGTCACTCCACGCCTGCAGGTGTCCTCCGTGGGGCCGTCTGCATCATCTGCACCGGTGCCAAAGTGGAGCTCCGCGAACCTCTGGGCTTCCTTCGCGTCTGTGGACATTGTTTCTGTTCCTCTGAAAGTCACTCTCAGCTTTGCAGGGTATAAAAGTCCATACCAAACTCCAGGCTTGTCCTGAAGAAGTGCTCTGACACCGTTAAATGCAGCTCTGCGTTTTGCGATCTCGGGGGTGAAGTCAGGAAATGCGGATCTTCTGCCCGCGGTCGGCGAGGTCCCTCTGAGTGATGGCCTTCCGGAGGGTCATTGTAACGTCGCGGTAATAATGGGGTCTCACCACCCGCCCGAGGGGGTCCTGTGTCGTCTGGGCGCCTTCGTAGAGCTCTATGAGCGGGATCCACCAGCAGTAAGCCATCCAGAGTCAGCACTTCTTTCAGGAGCTGCGAGACAAATCCGTTCAATTCTGCGCCGTTCTCTGCCGCTTCTCTTAATGTAATCCGTATATTTTGTCATCTGGACCTTCCTTCAAGATCCATGTGTTTTTCTGTTAGCTGATTCGTCTCTGTGTGTAGAAGTTTTATCTCCGACTGTTGCGCGGTTACGGCGTCTGCTGTGTTGCCGCTCGTTCTAGTTCAGCGATGGATGCGCCATGTTGGTCGTTGGACGTTTTCAGAAGGTGAATGGCATTTTGAGTCTCGGTCTTTAGGGTGAGGCGTTCTCCTCTGATAGTGGCGGACATCTCCTCGATGCGAGTATCTATTGTCTGACAAATTTCGAACTTAGTGACGTAGTTCTGTGCGGAGAGTTTATAGCCTCTGGGATGGTAGCATTAGCCATCGAATAGCTACCTTCAGGAGAGTCCTTGTTGGAGGCATACATCCTCAAATTTGCTTTCATCATGTCCTGTTGCAGTTAAATGAAATCTAGACTATTCTTTCTCCCAGCCTATTGTAGAATAACTGTCCAAATGTCAAGTTAGTGCTAAATATTGTGGCGGATACAATATATATATTTCACACCAGAATGTATGCTTTTATTGTGAAGGGGAGAAGGTAAGGCGTGAAGACACCAACGGTTGTTATTCATTCGATTTTTGGTTTTGTTGGAAGACATTGAGAATTAAACAAGACTCAAATCACTATTTCGTCTTTTTCTGCTGACTTCCACAATATATTATTAAATTTGCATGAGCTCTAGGGAAACGCTGCCTACTTCGCCATTGCTCACTAGCGCCCCCTTATGTTTTTTTTATGTCTATCCACACTGGGTATACACAAAAAGTACAATGTACTGGCCCTTTAAAAAAGAGGAAAAAGAAGATTGGATTGTTGTGTTTAGCACCAAGGTGATTTTAATTTTTTTTTTTTTTTTTTTTAAAGATCTTGTAAAAAATTAAGAAAGATATGTTTCTTGACAGTTTGCTATGAGGATTCAAGACACTGACACGTTTAAATATAAACAGATGAATAAAAAGTGTTGCTGGGATCTGACCTGAAACTGAAAGCACTCATTAAATTCTGTGCTGGATGTTTTCTCCAGCAGAGTTATGCTGCTGTGCTGTGACACCAAAGTGACCGTCATGAGCAGAGACTCAGTGGGCTGCAGGAGACTGGCACAGAATTTAGTCTCTGCTCCAGACTCAAGAACAGCAGGAATGGCCACCATGTAATGTCTGCAGACAGATTCACACACACAACCGTTGCATTAAGTAATCAGACTTTGATGGAATCTGAAAAATGGTTTAATAATATCAATGCATAATTGTTTAAAAATTCAAGAAGACTCACGGTGTAGCTGATCCTCGGCCCACAGACATCCCATACAAGAGGATGCACAGAGTCCATTTCCACATCTGGGTCCATGGATGATCCATGGCTGTCAGTGAATGTCCTCAGATTCAGTCTGCAGAGAACAGAGGCCCCCCACTCTCCCTCACCGTGTTTCACCCACTCAGGCTCCACCTACACCCTTCGATTGCCTTTAATATCTGCACTTGAATGAATGTGGATCTATTAAAGCTAAAATGCAAAAGTCCCTCAAACTGAAATTCAGACCTCAGTATTCTAAAAGTTTGATCTGATAAATATCCTGCTACTTTTCTGTGTTTGACCACTGAGAGGTCAAACTTCAACAGTGAAATAAATAATCAGAATCATGTCCATACTGCTCCGTGGTCTGGTGTCAGAGTCATGGGTGATTTTACACAACTGCACTATAAACTGTGTAGGTGTAAAATGTTTGACTTTGTCATGCAAACAGACCCTGACCTCTTCACAACAAACAGAGACTTTTCCCCCTTGTGTGTTTATGTAGTAACTCTAATGGATCACAAAAACATGGGAAAAGAAAACACATAAAACACTAACTGGTATTTTTGCTCATTTTCTACTCATATCCTGAAGATTTTGAGACTGTTGCTTGGCAAGTCAAAGCGACACTCCATAAGAAATCTATGGAGCATTCAACTCCTTGAATTTTCTATGCAAGATGAGTGGCAGAGATATGAGTGCATTAAATCTCCTAAAGTGATTGTGGTGAACGTAATCTCCCTGAAATTGTTCAGCATGTTTTTATGGAATGTTCTGCTTATGAATAAAAAATAAGTCATTTCCAAAAAGAAATTACTAAAATGAATATTCAACTTAAAATTGATGACATTTTTAGTAGTGATGCCAGTAAAGTAAAATATCAAATTGAGTTTTTTTTATACAAACTTAATAGAGAGAATTTAGTTGAATTATCAAGTAGGCCTGTCACGATAACAAATTTTGCTGAGCGATTAATTGTCTAAAAAAATATTGTGATAAAC